GTGTGTGTGTGTGTGTGTGTGTGTGTGTACTAAAACTTCTCAGAAATCCTCAGGACTCTCGTCCTCCTCCTTCCTCACAGTTGAAAGAGCCTCAGTCTGTTCACCTGTAAAACAGACTGAGCTGATCATGAGCTCAGATCTGAAGATGAGACAACAACACATGATTTGCACCGAATCACACGCACATGAAGACGTGACTGACCAGCAGCTCAGTCCTGACACATGATGACACGATCAGCTGCTGGTCAGACACTCACTGAGGAACCACGGACAGGAACACATGGAAGGAACAACGACGCATCAGTGAGTCATGCGTGGTGTTGCAAATGACCTGTGATCAATCCTATGATTCAGGATCAATACCTGCAAATATTAGTACACGACTCAACGATCAGATTCAGCAAACGAAGCTACGTCATGAACCCTCAGCGACGGATTTATTCTTTTGCAGCAGCAACACAAGTGGATGATGCTCAGTGACCTGCAGCACATCTGGAGAGACTGGGTCCCCAACTCATTTCTTTTTTATATAAACATTACACACTGTGAGCGTGTATCTGTTCAGTATGTGTTAGAGAGTACTGAGAAAACTGGAAAAGTCAAATGGACAAACTTTTCTGACTCAAAGTTCACGCTATGCTATTGCTATGCAATTTTGAATGTTGTTCATTCAGAATTAATAACCCGACACGTGGAGATTATAACCAGCAGGGGGCAGTGAACGAAAGAAGTTTTCATCCTCAACTTTTTTTTAACAATACATCCAATAATAATCAAGATACTTCAATCTGGATCTGAAATCAAATAATGGACAAAGCAACCACTCCATTCTTAAAGCCGTGACGTTTTAGAACCAACGCATATTAAAGACGACCCAGTTTGTTTCCTCGACGATAAGATGAAGTTACCGTTGCCTGATATGTACTAGTTCTGATGTAATGAATACTACTCGAATGATATGATATACTACTATTATACTACTAGAAAGTATAATATTGTGAGGCAGTGATGTTTACGTAATATTTCCAAGGACATTGTGAAGCTCGACGCTGACAAGGGATGAATTTAAGGACTCAGCTCTTCATATACAGTTTTTAATATTTGGTTTTTAGTTGCCACAGGTCAACTTTTACTTAATTTTACAGTATTTTTCTGAAATTGTGTTCTGTGTCTTCCTATGTATTGTATGAAATATACATTTCCATCAGTACCTGCATTAGACAATAAAGTTTAGAGTCTTGTCTCTTGAACCACTTGGGTTGAGAAGAGAAAAAAGAAAGACAATAAAAGACGATGAGTAAAATAAAACATGCCGGATGATTTCAAGGCCAGAAAAACATCTATGAAACTGTGCAGATCAAGTATTTAGTATTTGTACAGCCCATATTCACAGATCACACTTTGTCTCACAGGGTTTAACGAGGTGCGACATCGTCAGTTCCCCAGCAAGAGCAAAGAAAAACGACCTAAAGAATCTCTACTAACAGACGAGAAGAAAGTAGAAACCCCAGAGAGAGAGACACGTGTGAGGGAAACTCTCCCAGGACGGACTCCAGGGAGACGGATGCTGGGAAATATTTGTGTCTGCTCTGGGTTTGCAAAGTAAACAGACCTGAGCGTCGGTATAACAGCTCTGAGAACTGTCAGACTACAAATGAGCTGTTACGTAACCAGAACAGTGGCTGCTCTGTATGTACAGCAGGTATGAGGAGCACGAGCACACACACACACACACACACACATGGAAATGAATACACACAAGTACACAGACACACAAATGTAATTCACGTACACTTCTCCTATGTCATCTCAGGACAGTTCATTGTTGTGTCCAGGTTCTTGAGGATTCCTTGAGATACAAGTGAACTTTTCCTTTAGTTTCACATTTGCATGAATTATACTGTGAACATCCCGACCAGATGTTTGTAACTACGTGTTTGTCAGCAGGTGATGTGAATCTAACTTCTCTCTCTCTCTCTCTCTCTCTCTCTCTCTCTCTCTCTCTCTCTCTCTCTCCTCTAGTTCCACCCTT